CCCTACTAAAAAAATTACCATGCCACAGACCACGATATTCATATAATGATACCAAATCGGTAACCATTAGGTATCTTTATATGAATTTTACAGTGACGACAAAATTTTCAACATATTTATAGTAAATTTTAATAATTTCAATGAGCATCAGTGATTAATAATTGTACTGTTTCTAATTTAAAATTTTGAAAGTCATTGTAATCAATTTACAATTGAATAATTTAATTCTATCGCAGATTTATATGCGGCATTCCCTTTGTAGTTGATACCGCTATAATGAAAAGGTTCAATTTGTTTATACCCTTCACCACACTGTGGTACAGGGTATCATGTATTTGTGCATATGTATGTAACAGGCAAAAGGACCCATAGACCCATGGTTCCTTTTTAGAATATGCATAGAATCACTTTCTCAGTCGATTTATGCATGTTCGTCTGTACGTCCGTCCATGTATTTTTGTGATGTATGATCCGATTTGGATGAAATTTGGCACAAGTCACTTATTTGGCCCAAGGACGATCCCTATTGAAATTGGAAAAAATCGGTTCAGATTTAGATATAGCTCCCATATATAGTTTCGACCGATTTTATGTAAATGGTGCACCAAACTCCCAAAATTGGTCGATTGAGACAAAATTTTGGACAGAGTACTGAATTGAGTCTAGATTGATATATGCCAAGTTTTGTTGATATCGGTTCAGATTTCGATATAGCTTCCATATATAGTTTCGTCCGATTTTATGTAAATGGTGTACCATACTGCCAATATTGGTCCGATTGAGACAAAATTTTACACAGAGTACTGAATTAGGTCTAGATTGATATATGCGAAGGTTTGTTGAAATCGGTTCATATTTAGATATAGCTCCCATATATTTTCGACCGATTTTGTGTAAATGGTGCACCAAACTCCCAAAATTGTTCCGATTGAGACAAAATTTTGCACAGAGTACTGAATTAGGCCTAGATTGATATATGCCAAGTTTTGTGGAAATCGATTCAGATTTAGATATAGTTCCGTCCGATTTTATTTAAATTGAGCACCAAAGAGTCGAATTTAGCCCGATCGGCACAAACATTTCACACAAATTGCCTAATTAGGTCCAAATTTAGCATCTCTTGTATGTACCCAAAGTGGTGAAGGGTATCATATAGTCGGCCCAGTTTGACTTTTGAGCTTTCCTTAGTGTTCTTTTTAATGGGGTCCACTGTTCTACGCCCAAAATCGATTAAATCATTATTTCCTCGCTGACGTCTAACTTTCTTCAATTGTCTTGTGTGATACTAAATAAAAAAAATAATGAAAAACTAAAAATCGGAAATATCGCGTGCATCTGTTTTTTTAGATTTTTTTTATCAATACTCATATAGAATAACAACAAATCATTCATTAAAAAATTCACCTGTGTATTCTAATACAGTAAAAAAACAAAAATAACAAATTATAAAAAATACTAAGACCTCTCACAGACTAGAAAAAAACTATAATTTTTTAAGTAAAACCGTACTGTGACAAATGTTTGAAAAAAAAAACAGATTGTTGTTCGGAACAAAAGCAAAACTGGCAATAAACTCAATTCAGTATCGCAACAACTTTGTCAAGGAACAAATCAGATAAATTTAACAAAATTGCATTAAATCTCATTTACAAAAAAAAAAAAAAAAAAATAATAATAATAAATATATCAATTAAAAAAATTTTGATAACGGTGAAAAACACAACAAAAATAAAATATTTCCTTTTTTGCGGTTTATTTTACACTTTCATTCAGTGGCTATTTTGTTTTTATTCAATTTTCTTTTTGTAATTGTTCAAATGAAATTAATGTGTTCGCTCTGCAAATTGAGCGAAATTAAATAATTTGTATATATTACATACCTACATACAAGTATGTACATATATATATATATTTTTTTTTTTGTGAAAAACCGAGAAGACGGCAATAATTCAACATTCATCATTGCTGTGCTCTATCTCAAAATCATCAGTATTCACAGTAATATTTGATTATCGTTCGGTTGTTCAACTATATTCGAAAATCGCGAAAATTATTGTCGGAATATAATAAACGGGATTATTTAAAAAGAAAAACAGCAGCAAAAGTGATTAAAAAATAAAACACAAAATATTTTTAATTTTAATATAATGAAAAGAAACGAATTCCACTTGATAATTGAAATAATATATAAATATTCGGAATCCTCTAGTTATTTTTATGCATTAGCAGACTTGAGAGAGTCTTTATACTGATGAGAGACTTTCATAAACGAGATGAAAAGCTGCAGGGATTCTTTATAGACGAGCTGAAGCACGGAGTCTTTATAGACGAGCTGAAGCACGGAGTCTTTATAGACGAGCTGAAGCAGGAAGTCTTTATAGACGAGCTGAAGCAGGGAGTCTTTATAGACGAGCTAAAGGAAGTCGACATGTACCTTTATTGATAATTTTTTAATAGATATATGTGAAAACCCCGAAATACTTCCAAAAATCCGAAATACATTAATATAGACAGTGACATAGGTAATAAAGCCAAAAGAATGGGAGTAAATTTTCAGTAGAACCTATAAATAGTCCCAGTCCTTCCTGAATTTTTTTGTAATGATTGCCCCAATTAATTTCTTTCCAGTAAAATGTCTCCCTAAGAATCTATGATCTTATTTTCACTCTTTTCCTGCAGGCTGTTTCTTCCCGTTATCATTTGTGTTGGCAACCTTTTCACCATTCCAACCTTTTGGAAAACAGATGAGATCCCTGACCTGGTAAAGATTTCTATAAGCCTACCAAAAGAAAAGTATCTTTTCTTCGTTCTCCTCTCTGTGAAAAACTTCTAGCAAACTGTAGCATCACATAATTTCGTTTGCCAGATCTATAGGATAACATCCGTTTTTTTTTTTGCATCAGATGTCGAGAAGCTCATTTGGATCATGTTTTTGAGTCCCCGCCTATGACGAGGTACAGATGCCCCAGAAAAGTATTATTTAAAAATCCACGCCTGAAGAGGTACATATGCCCCAGAAAAGTATTATTTAAAAGTCCACGTTTGAAGAGGTACAGATGCCCCAGAAAAGTATTATTTAAAAATCCTCGCCTGAAGATGTACAAATACCTCAAACAATATTTTTTTTTAAATTCACGTCTGTAGAGATACAAATGCCTCAAAAAATATTCTTTAAAAGTTCACGTTTGAAGAGGTACAAATGCCTCAAAAATATTCTTTAATCAGTAAGGAAAAAAGTAAAGTCGAACTGGGCCGACAATATGATACCCTTCACTACTTTAGGCATATTCTACATATGTATATTTACAGATGTCGTCCTTTCGAAGGATCATTGACATGAAATTGAACGAACATAAAAATGCGATATTTATCTAAAAGTAAACCGACTAACATCAATCCTTACACATGCCATTCTGTAATCTATTCCATACTTTGTAAATAGATTTTAAGCAAACTTTACGCACGCTACTTGGTATACTTCACTGTTTAAAATGTAATATCAATCAGGCACCCATTGATTATTTGGTTTACAATCAACATGAATAGGTCGATATTATATATGGAAGCTATGCTATATCTAAATGTGAATCAATTTCAAGGAAACTTGCCGAGATTAATTTATACTAATTTCAGTACGTTTTGCCAATCGGCCTAGCTATGGGTCTTTAGTACACCATTTACTTAAAACCGGGCGGAAATATATATAGGAGCTCTATGTAAATCTGAACCAATTTCAAGAAAACTTGACACAAGAAAGGTTATAGTAACTTCAGTACATTGTACAAAATTGTGTGCGGGTCGGCCAATCTTTGGGTCTTTAGTGCACAATTTACATTAAATCGGACGAAAATATATATTGGAGCTATATCTAAATCTGAACCGATTTTCACGAAACTTGGCCACGTCATTTTTGACCTAATTCAGTATTTTAAGCTAAATTTCGTGATAATCGAAAGATATATAGGGACTTTGATGCGTCTTTTACCTTAAATCGGACGAAAATATATATGGGAGCTATATCTAAATCTGGACCGATTTCCACGAAACATAGCACACATCATTCTAGACTTAATTCAGTACGCTGTGCCAAATTTCATGCAAATCGAAAGGTATATAGGGACTTTGGTGCAACATTTACCTTAAATCGGACGAAACTATATATGGGAGCTATATCTAAATCTGAACCGATTTTTCCCAATTTCAATAAGGTTCGTCCTTGGGCCAAATAAGTGACTTGTGCCAAATTTCATCCAAATCGTATCATAAATGCAACCTGTACTTTGTTTACAATTTATCTCGTTTCTTTTTGCCTGTTAAAAACATATGCACAAATACATAATACCCTGTACCACAGTGTGGTGAAGGGTATAAAAATCAACGCCTGAAGAGGTACAGATATCTTTAAAAAATCCGCATCTGAATGGGTACAGATGCGTCAAAAATATTCTGAAAAAATCCAAAACTGGAGAGGTACAGATATCTGTAAAAAAATCTGCAAAAAATGTTTTTGACCCATGAAGAGGTTTATATGCCTTATCGTCGCTCAAAAATTGATTAAAGAATCCTGTTATTCCTTCATTCCTTATTAACGGAGCTACGCAAATTTTCAAGACGTATTCGTTCTACCATAACGCCGTAATAAGCGTAACGCCTGCACTAATTATATGCTCTGACTTACTTGCATTTCAGCGATTATAATAATTAAGTAAATTATTTTAATACACATGTGAGCTCACATAAAAAAATCAACAACAACAACAAAAATATTAATACAGCGTGATGGTGAATAAATAAATTGACGAAAAACTTTTACACGCTTCCTCACAAAAAAAAAAAAACAAAAAGCTCAAACAAAAACAAACTGAAAATCAAAACAATTCTCGTGTTTACAAACAAAGCACAGTGACATTTAATTTGACAAGTTTACTGAGCACATTGACCGGTAACGAAACCAATAACAAACCACTAAGACGTAGATACGGTGAGGCGAGGTAGAGAGATACGATAATAGAAAACAGCTGCTTGCCACCGACACGACCACCGACAATATGATAGAGCTCGACAAGATTCTTGAGAAGTGTGGCGATCGTCATCGTTTACAGGCGATCATGTTGTTGCTCTTTTGCGTCATCAATCTGCTCTCGGCCATGCATTATTACTCGCAAACGATTATCAGTTTTGTGCCCAAGTATTGGTGAGTAAGAAATGTATGGGAGGTGGGTATTCGATTTTTTTTTACCGAACACTGTTAGGCCGGTAAAGTGGTTGTTAGTTTCAAAAAAATCAAATCATTGTTCATTATATTACTTTTTTTAGGTGTGCTGAAGATTTGCTACCATCTGAAGGTTATAAACCTTCCGCTCCCACCCAATCTTCTTGTATTTCGCTTCGAAATAATTCATCACAAAGTTGTTCACAATTCCACTATGATTACTATATGGGCTATGAAAGTCTGACCAGTGAATTAAATTGGATTTGTGATAATGCCTGGAAATCCACCTTGGGTCAAAGTATGTTCTTTGTTGGCTCCGTTGTGGGTAGCTTGGTATTTGGTATTCTGGCGGATATTGTGGGTAAGTGTGAGACCTTGAGGATTTGGATATTTATTATTATTATTTTTTTTGAAAAATAATTTATAAAAATTTCTTTTTAGGTCGCTTACCAATTTTAATAATTGCCAATGCGGTGGCAATGCTTGGAAATGTCCTGACCATATTTGGAACTGATTTGGTTACATTTTCATTCTTTAGATTTATATCGGGACTGGCCACCGATAGCAATTTTGTTATGATGTATATTTTGGGTGAGTAATAAAAAGTATTCCGAAGGGTAGACGTTTTAAAGGGAGCCTTTATAGAAGGTCTTGTAGACGATTATAATTATATCAGAGAGACCGTATAGATCAGATGAACTTTGTAGAGAATTTGAAAGACATTAAGTCTTTAAAGACGAACTGATGTTTTATACACGAGTTGAAGGACAGATAGGTAATAGGCTGTAGATGAACTGAAGCTCAGGGAGTCATTTAAGGCGGGTTAAAGCTCATTAAGCTGATCGGAATGTTTATAGACTAGCTGAAGGTTATAGGAGACCTTAGAAACGAGCAGGAATTCAGGGATTTTTTTGTAAACGTAGACAGTCTTTATAGATGAACGGAAGGAAGGATTGGAATTTCAGGTATTTTTCATAGTTGAGGTAAAGGTCACGGTCCATAGATGAAGGTCAAAGAGCCTAATAAAAGAGCTGAAGCTCAGGGTGTCTTTATATACAGGCTGTAGCGCTGTAGTTCAGAACGTCAATATATGGGTGTGTTAGTAGAACAGGTGAAGGGTAAAGGAGACCTGATGTTCGAGATTTTTATAGATTATGCTCAGGAAGTGTCTATTAAAAAAAAAAATGAGGATCATGGGTTCTTTAAAGACGAGCTGAAGCTAAGGGACCCCATTATAGATCAGCTGAAGTTCTCCAAGTTTTTTATGATGAACGGAAGAGCAGGGAGTCTTTATAGACGAACTGAAGTTCTAGAAGACTTTTAAGATGATCTGAAAGTAATGCGTCTTTGTAGCTGAATCGTGAGGGAATATTTATAGACAATTTGAAAGCATCTTTATTACAGAGCTGAGGCTCAGGGAGTCCTTATAGATGATCTGAAGCTCAGGGGGCGAGCTGAAGCTAAGGAAGTCCTCATAGACCAGCTGAAACCAGGAAGTTTTTATAGACGAGCTGAAGCTCAGGTACTCCTTATATACAAGGTGGAGCTCAGGGAGTCTGTAGACGGATTTTATATGTAGACGAGGTAAAGTTCAGGGAGCTTGTAGACGGACTGAAGGGAGTCTATATAGATGAGCTGAAGAGAGTCTCTAAAGACGAACTGAAGGTAGTCTCTATAGATGAGCTGAAGGGAGTCTCTATAGATGAGCTGAAGGGAGTCTCTATAAATGAGCTGAAGGGAGTCTCTAGAGACGAACGGAAGGGAGTCTCTATAGATGAACGGAAGGGAAGGTCTGACAAGACTTTGTAAACGTGGTGGAGAGAAATTTTAATATTTGTTTGGGTCATACTTCCTGCCCTCGGAACATGACTGTAAGACAGGGACGTACGAAGGGGGGCGGCCCCCCCAAAATAAATTTTTGTCACAGTAAATTTATGTTTGCAACAGCGAATTTTTTCATTTTCTACTACCGGGTCCCCTCCCGAAATGAAATCCTGTGTACGTTTCTGCTGTAAGATATAATTATAGAGTGCAAGGCAATTAAGTCGTTATTGACTAGCTGAACCAATTCATTTTTAAATTGTTTTTATAGACTGATTTTATATTGAGGCTCTTATATGGACTTCCGAACCCAACCTCGGATCGTCTACAGAAATGCTTCTACCATCAACTTCATATTTTGAAATGAACTTCCCCTGTACCCTTCATTCGTAAATAGAAAAATATGTTCCAGGACCTTCAGCTCGTCTATGGAAATAGGCCACCTGGACTTGCGATAAATCTGGATTATATAGAGGAAAACTTATCAGATGTCTGTCTATAGAAGTTTAGTCTTTTTCCTATAGTAGATCAACAGTTTTTTAATGGGGGTCCTATGGTCTTTGATTGTGCTCTAATCTTAGTTTTCTTAGCTTTCAGTCAGCCAGTCAAAATTCTATCCATAGAATCTCAGACTTGTATCAATAATGGTCCAGCCTATAGTTCATAGTATTCTAGCCCTCTGTCTATAGGAGGTTCAGCCATCTGTTGATATTATCTCAGCCTTCTGTCTAAAGGAGGTCAATCTTCTGCCTATTGAATGTCATCCTTCTGTCCATAGTAGGCCAGTACAGCCGTCGCTCCTTCTGTCAATAGAAGACCAGCCCATTGTCTATAGTAGGTCAGTCTATTGCCTATTGGACGCCAGACTTCTGTCCATAGTATCCCAGCCTATATGAGGTCAGACTTCTTCCAATTGAAGGCCAGCCTTCTGTCTATAGAAACCCAGCCTTGTGTCTATAATGGTTCAGCCATCAGTATATGGTATCTCTGTCTTCTGTGTAAAGGAGACTAATCTTCTGCCTATTGAATGTCAGCCTTATGTCGATAGTAGGCCTGTTTTGTCCATAGTATCACAGGCTTCTGTCAATAGAAGACCAGCCCACTGTCTAGGGAAGGTGAGTGTACTGCCTATTGAACGCCAGCCTTCTGTCTACAATGAATCAGCATTCTGTAGATAGTATCTTAGTCTTCGGTGTGTTAGCTTTCTGTCCATTTAATGCCAGCTTTTAGGACCATAGAACACCACCGTCCTACGTCAGCCTATTGTCCAGAGTATCCCAGACTTTTGTCCATAGAATATCTGTCTTCAGCCTTCTGTTAATAGAAGCCATGCCTTCTGTCTGTAATATTCCTGTCTTTTGTCCTGTACTCCAGCTTCATGTCTATAGGAGCCCACCTAGAAGGAATCCTGTCTGCCTATAGAAGTACCCATGGCTGTCTATGTAAGTTCAGAGTTCTACCTATAGAAAGTCAGCCTTCCTCATAGCATATAGAAAACCAACGTTCTGTCAAGTCAGATCATGTAATCGTAATTGTAAAATATCATGCTTCATCCGTCTATAGAAGGCAATCCTTCCTATCTGTAGAAACATTGCCTTCTGTACAGAAGGACAACATTATGGCTTTAGTAGGACTAACTTCTGTATATAGTTGGCCATTTCCCAGCCCATCATCTTCTTTATGGACGTTCTGTCATATTTGGCTCTTCTGTAAATCTTTCTTGGACCTTAAGATCATCTATCTAGACCCCTTGGATCTCTGCTCTATTTAATCTTGCTTTATAACCTTTGTTGTTATTCCCTACCATTTGATGACTCACCCTTTTCCTTTTTTCTTCGATTTTGGTTTTCTTTTACAGTTATGGAGTATTTATGCCCTTCACTGCGCACCATCGGCCTCAGCATCTGTATTGGTTTCTTTTATTGCCTAGGATCAATTGCCGCACCTTGGATAGCCGTTCTAATGCAATCGTGGCGTGGATTCCTTTTGGCCACCTCCATACCCTTTCTGTTGGTGCCACTCTTCTATTTCATTGTACCCGAAAGTGTTCAATGGTTGATCTCTAAGCAAAAATACGATCAGGCTGTGGAGTGTTTAAAACGTGTGGCCAAAATAAATGGTAAAGTGGTAGATGAGGCGGCTTTTGTCGACTTCGTCGAAGAGTGCAAACGTAGCCAAATGCAACAGCCCAAAGCCAAAGTGGAACCGAATCTGTTGGGTTTATTTGCCAGCCCACGTCTCAGGCGTAATACTTTGATATTATTTTTCAAATCGTAAGTAAATGGCGCTGCGCTCAGGCGCATGCGCTGCTATTGTAGCATTTAGGCAAAAAGTTCTTATGGCTAATGAGCTGTTATTAATGTTCAATTATGTGTTATGTGGCGGAAACGTGATGTTGTGATCTGCCTCCTCTCCTCCTGCTTCCCCTGGCTGCTTGGGGTTTAGTATGGTGATCACATTGTGCTACGATGCTGTCTCACGTAACGTACAAGGTCTTGGCATTTCACCATTTGTCATGTTTTCATTGAGTGCCACAGCCATTTTGCCAGCCTGTCTACTTCTAATTGCTCTGCAAGATCGTATCGGTCGCAAAGCCATGGCATCAATGTCTTTGCTACTGAGTGGCATATTCATTTCGACAACGGGAGCGCTGCTATTCCAAAGTTCGGAATCGTCTAGTGATCAGAGTAAGTACATTTGGGGGAGGGTATTTGTTAGTATTTAAATGTGATCGCCAAAATCAAAGTAAAGGTGGATTATCAGGCGATTTTTTTTTCTAAAGAAGAACAATCTTTGGTCTATAGAAGTCGCAGCCTTCTGTCCATAATATGCCAGCGTTCATACAGAGAAAGCTAGCCGTCTAGATCAGCCTTCTGCCCACAATTCTATATTCTATCGATAATAGGCCAGACTTCTGCCTCTAGTAGGTCAGCCTTCTAGGTCAGTCCACAATATCTCAGTCTTCCATCGATGGTATGCCAGTTTTCATACAATAGAAGCTTTCAGTCTATAGAAGGCCTGTCTTCTAGTGGAGTCTTCTGTCTATATAAGGTCAGTCTTCTGTCGAATCGTAGCCTTCTGTCCAACTTTCTAGGTCAGTTTTCTGTCCATAGAATCGTAGCCTTCTGTCCATGTGAGCGTTTATTCAGAAAGGGCCAGCTTTCAGCCTTCTAACGATAGCCCAACAGTATTCTGCATATAGAAGGTCAACTTTTTAGTTCAGTCTTCTGTCCATAGTATTTCAGTATTCTGCCGATAGTAGGACAGCCTTTTCGCCATAGAAGGTCAGCTTTCGGTTTATAGAAAGCCTACCTTCTAGGTCAGTCTTCTGTCTATAGAAGGCCAACTTTCTGTCCATAGTATCGTAGCCTTCTGCCCATAGTATCAAAACCTTCAGTATGTGAGCCTTTTGAACGTAGAAAGTCAGCGTTTTTTTCAGGACCATAGAAGGCCAGCTATATGCCATTCAGGTCCATTCTCTGTACATAGAAGGTTAGTCTTCTAGGTCTTCCTTCTATAGTTTAGTTAGTTAGGTCAGCCTTCTACGTCAGTTTTCGGCCCATAGTATTTCAGTCTTCTACCGATAGTAGTACAGTGATCTGCCTTTTGTCTAATGAAGTCCAGCTTTCATGGTCAGGGCATTATACTTATAATTGGTCAGCATTCTGTCTATAGGAGGTCAGCCTTGGTCTATAGTAGGTCAGCATTCTGTTTATAGAATCTCAACTTTGTGTCCATAATGTGTCTATAGGAGGTCAGCTTTCTGTTCATAGTATATCAACCTTATCTCAATAGTAGATTAACGTTCTGTTCACAAAAGGCCAGCCTTCATGATCAGTATTCTGTCCGTGGTATCCCAGCCTTCTGTTCATAGAAGCCCAGTCTCCTATATAAAGAAGTCCAGCTTCCTGTCTATAGGAGTTCAGCCTCTTGTTGACAGAAGAGCTCCTGTTGGTCTTTAGAAGGTCAGCCTTCTGTCTATAGAAGATCAACCTTTTGCATATAGAAAACCAATATTCTGTCAAACGATGCCAACCTTTTGTGAGTAGAAAACCTGCATTCTGTCTATAGAAGCATTATTTCCATATTAACCCCGCTGTCGGCAGACTATAGCAGGTCAGACTTTTATATACAGTTTACAGAATTATATTTTTAGAGAACCGGCCTTCTACCTATAGGAAGTCAGCCTTCCAGGTCAGTGTTCTTTACAACTATTTCTGAATGTTTCCACGACAGAGGGGTCTACGATCCGAAACGACCCGAGTCTTACTCGGCCCACGTCTGTCACCTCAGCCCATTGTGTAAAAGCAATAGTGCCGCTACAACAACAACTATTTCTGAAATTGCTCTCTTTCCTTTTAGATGTCACATTGGTGGTAATCCTCTCGGTAATCGGACGTTTTGGCGTTACGGTGGCCTATAACTCTGGCGCCCAATATGCGACCGAGTTAATACCAACTTGCGTACGCGGACAAGGTGTAGCCGCAGTACATGTTATGGGTTACGGTTTTACTTTCTTTAGCTCATATATTTTACATACACGGCAATATTTCTCACCATTGCCGGAGATAATTTTGGGTTTCATATCGTTGGTGGGTGCAGGACTGTGCCTACTGTTACCAGAGACATTAAATAGGTGGGTACTTTTTATGTTAAGAGATATTAAAATTAAATATAATTTTATTTTCAGAACACTTCCGACAACCCTCAAGGATGGTGAAAATTTTGGTAAAAATGATCGCTGGTTTATGTTCAGTTTTATGGAGAAACGTACCTTATCGGTGGATACTTTGACGACGTCCACCACTCCCAGTACACATCCGGATAGCAGTGCATATTTTTAAAATATTGTTGTGGAATGTGGTTTTTTAGTACAATTGAAAACGATTTGCCAAAGAAATAGAAAATTGAAATACAAAGCTATAATACCCTAACAACATTGTTGTGTACCTTATAAATATACCAAAAATTAGCCACATAAAAACTGCATACCCTTCTGTACATCTACAAAAAAACTTTCAGACCACCCTCTTATATATAAAGGCTCCCACACCTCCAGTTTAATATAAAGACTCCTTGGCTCCCTGACTTTCAGGTCCTGATCTTCAGGTCGTTTAAAAAGACTCATTGCCATCCAGCACGGCCATATAGACTTAATAGCCCTCAGCTCCCTGGTCTTCATCTGGTCTATAAAAAATATGTCTGGACTTCTGTTCGTCCATAAAAATTATCTGGCCTTCAGTTCAGTCTATAACAATTCCATATCACAAAGCTTGTCTATAAACACTCCCTGGCCTTCCGTTTGTATATAAATATTTCCAAGTTTCAGCTCATCTATAAAGACATGCTGGCCTTCTGCTCGAAAATCTATCCGACTTTTTGGATCGTCTATAAAGACTATCTGGCCTTTGAATTGTCTATAAAGTGTACTTAGTCATCATGTAAATAAACTTCCAGATCTTCAGCTCGTCTATAAAGACACCATGACCTTCAGCTAGTTTATAAATACTCCCTGGATTTCAGCTCATTTTTGTGAACCTCATGGAGACCTCGTCTATAATATCAATTTGTCCTTTCCCTCGTCTATAAAAATTTCTGACCTTCAGCTTGTCTACAAAGCCTCCCTGGACTTTAGCACGTCCATAAAGACACTCTCGCCTTCAACACCTCTATAAAAATTACTTTGCATTCAGCACGATTCCCTGTCCTTCAGTTCACCTATAGACATTACCTGGCCTTCAACTCGTTTATATAAAAATTACTCCAGCCATATGTCATAGATCATTGTCTTCAAAAATTATTTAAAAAATCCACGCTTATAGACCCGTTGGTCCTTAAAAAATATTATTTAAAAAATCCACCTTAAAAAATATTATTTAAAAAATCCACGCTTATAGACCTTTGGGTCTTTGATAGTTGATGTTTAAAAAATCCACGCTTATAGACCTTTGGGTCTTCAAAAATTATTTAAAAAATCCACGCTTATAGACCAAGGCACTGTCTTCAAAAATTATTTAAAAAATCCACGCTTATAGACCAAGGCACTGTCTTCAAAAATTATTTAAAAAATCCACGCTTATTGACCAGGACATGGTCTTCAATAATTATTTAAAAAATCCACGCTTATAGACCAGGACATGGTCTTCAATAATTATTTAAAAAATCCACGCTTATAGACCAGGACATGGTCTTCAAAAATTATTTAAAAAATCCACGCTTATAGACCAGAACATGGTCTTCAAAAATTATTTAAAAAAATCCACGCTTATAGACCAGGACATGTTCTGCATAAATTATTTAAAAAATCCACGCTTATAGACCAGGACATGTTCTGCATAAATTATTTAAAAAATCCAGGCTTATTGACCAGGACATGTTCTGCAAAAATTATTTAAAAAATCCACGGTAATAGACCAGGACATGATACTCAAAAATTATTTAAAAATCCACGCTTATAGACCAGGACAATGTCTTCAAAAATTATTTAAAAATCCAGGCTTATAGATCAGGACATGATCTTCAAAAATTATTTAAAAATCAACGCTTATAGACCAGGACATGATCTTCAAAAATTATTTAGAATTCCATGCTTATAGACCAGGACATGATATTCAAAAATTATTTAAAAATCCAGGCTTATAGACCAGGACATGATCTTCAAAAATTATTTAAAATTCCATGCTTATAGACCAGGACATAACATTCAAAAATTATTTAAAAATCCATGCGTATAGACCAGGACATGATCTTCAAAAATTATTTAAAAATCCACCCTTTTAGACCAGGACATGATCTTCAAAAATTATTTAAAAATTCACGCTTTTAGACCAGGACATGATCTTCAAAAATTATTTAAAAATCCACGCTTTTAGACCAGGACATGATCTTCAAACATTATTTAAAAATCCACGCTTTTAGACCATGATCTTCACAAATTATTTTAAAATCCACGCCTATAGACCAGGACATGGTCTGCAAAAATTATTTAAAAAATCCACACTTATAGACCAGGACATGGTCTTCAAAAATTATTAAAAAAATCCACGCTTATAGACCAGAACATGGTCTGGTCCACGCTTATAGACCAGGACATGTTCTTTAAAAATTATTTAAAAAATCGACGCTTATAGACCACGATATGGATTTCAAAAATTATTTAAAAATCCACGGTTATAGACCAGGACATGTTCTTTAAAAATTATTTAAAAAATCCACGCATATAGACCACGATGTGGATTTCAAAAATTATTTAAAAATCCACGCTTATAGACCAGGACATGATCTTCAAAAATTATTTAAAAAATCCACGCTTATAGACCAGGACATGATACTCAAAAATTATTTAAAAATCCACGCTTATAGACCAGAACATGGTCTTCAAAAAATATTTAAAAAAATCCACGCTTATAGACCAGGACATGGTCTTCAAAAATTATTTAAAAAATCCACGCTTATAGACCAGAACATGGTCTTCAAAAATTATTTAAAAAATCCACGCTTAAAGGCCAGAACATGGTCTTCAAAAATTATTTAAAAAATCCACGCTTATAGACCAGGACATGGTCTGCAAAAATTATTTAAAAAACCCACGCTTTATAGACCAGGACATGGTCTTCAAAAGTTATTTAAAAAATCCACGCTTTATAGACCAGGACATGATCTTGAAAAATTGTTTAAAAATCCACGCTTTATAGACCAGGACATGATCTTCAAAAAATTATTTAAAAAATCCACGTTTATGGACCAGAACATGATTTTGAAAAAAATATTAAAAAAATTCACTCCTATAGACCTGGACATGATCTTCAAAACTTATTAAAAAAAATACGCTTATAAACTAGGACGTGGCCTTAAAAAATATTTAAAAAAGTCTACGCTTTTAGTCCAGGACATGGTCCTTAAAAATTCTTTAAAAAATCCGCCCTTCACCTTGCCTATAGAGAATGTCTCTGCTCGTCTATAGAAACTCACTTGAGCTCTTCTATAATGAGACACCCTTCAGCTCATCTATTAAGTCACCTTTGAGGTCATCTATGGCAGGCCTCCAGTTAGCTTGTCTATAGAGACTCCCTCAGGTTTTCTTCAATCAATTTCTTCCATAGACTCCACAACGCGATTCCATTTACAATTCCGAATTAACAAAATGTACCTTCTAAATGTCACTCATTCGGACATTTATTTCGAAATTTGTTAAAATTGGACATTGTGTAAAATTAGCAAAGAATTTTGCGTGAAATCATTTCAACATCATGTCAAAGTATTTCCTAATACAAATCTCAACGTTGCAAAACCGAGACAAAAACGAAAACCCCCATGAAAAAAGTCACCTGCACTCCACTAAAGATCAGGCAATAAATAACCTAAAATTTGATAGGAAAACAAGATCCGAACAAACATTAAAAAAGTACAACAAGAGAAAAAAAAAACAATTTACAATCAAAGTGTTGTCGGTTTCTGGTGTTCTTCTTGTTACTTTATTGGATCATAAAATCGTTGTCGAACACCAAACAAAAAAGTTTGAAAAAAAAACAAACGAAATCATGCCGATAGACAATAACGAAAAGGTTAGCCAGCCAGTCAGTCGCTGGTCTTAAGGAAATACAGCTGGCAATTGGCGAATGGTCTCTAGAGTAACACGGACCTAAATACAATTCCGCCATTCAATTCAAGTGAAACGTAAACGCATATCGATGGCGATGATCATGGCGAAAAAGTCAACCAAAAAATAAAAATATATGCCAAACGCTTAATGTGATCATTTTGTTTGTTGTTGTTGCTGTTGTGACAAAACGAACGACACGTTATTGTTATTTTTTTTCTTTCGTATGCATGCCACATATTCCATATGTAAGTGTTTCAGTTATTGTTGTTGCTGATGTGGATGCCCATTGCTAGAAGTCCGGATTGAAGTACTTGTTCCAAGACACTCAACTATTGTGTCAACCAGGCTGTCTACCAGCCATATATTCTCGACCATCCGCCTGACTCGTGAGACTTCTCAGTGAGTATCGGCGAATTGTAGTTGTTGTTTTTTCGTTGACATGAAGGAAAAGGTCACGAAACATAATGACATGATTTTTTCCATGCGCCACAAACGGCAACGACAACTCCGACAACAAACTAATAAAATATGTTTGTAAAAAAAGGGGAATTGTGTGTGAATATGGTCTTGTCCAAATGGACAGATGGCATGTGTGGACTGTTCCAGGTAATGATTTTGTTCAATAACGAAGATTCTGTTAAGGTTCAGCACAGAGTACCTATTAAGAAGTGCAAGTTTATAGATCAGGGCATGCTCAAAGATTATATAAAATAAAATCAAGTTTCATGTTACTTGTCGAAAAAAATACTGGGAAATGTCTTTGGAAAAAAATAAAAGAACATTTTAAATTTCTGGTTCAAAATGTATGAATATATATTCGGTATATACATTATATATAGAGATTTTACTTGTTCAGTGACTTATGATAAAAATTGATGGAGAATATTTTTGTCCCTTGTAGCATCCTTCTAAAACGTCATCTTATGGGAAAACTGGGTAAAAACTAGTAATTAGTACGATATTAACCCTAAAATGAGTTTTTTAAAGATTTTTGACGTTTAGGCTGATTTTTTGAGTTTTAGTCTATTCCGAGACTTATAGTAAAACTTTATGGCGAACATTTCTGTAGAATATTCTGAGCAGCTTTAACCCCTGAAAAAGGGGACCGAAAAGACCCCTTCAATGAGTCGGTTGAGGGTTAAAGTTGTATACCAAAATATTCCTCTATATTTTATCAGTAATTTTGCCGAAGACACTATATACCTAAAATGCAAGGATTTCAAGAAATCATTATTCGAAAAT